CTGAGACAAGTGATGTTGAGCTGGCCACGCCCATCCTGGCCATGCCCATCCTGGTCCCCAAAGGTCAATCACAACCCTGATGCGGCCCTCAATGAAATCGAGTTTGATGCCCCTGCCCTAAATGGTGGGTTTCATGGCATGTATATCAGTCTGATCTCACCTTATAAAAATTTCTAAATTCTTTGGGCAGCTCATAGGGATATAAAAAGATTGGACTGAGTAGAAAGAGACTACTATGTCCTATGACTTGGACTTTATTGTCTTCTATAGTATTTACCTTAATTAAGCAGCTGTGTCTCTATTGGCTCACCCTAAGCCTCTGGCCTACTTTTTCATCCTTGGCAAGTTTAAAATGTGTGGGTTTCAATTCCCAGAATTCCCCAGCCAGCAAAGTAAAGCTGGCTGGGGAATTCTGGGAGTTGAAGTCCACATATCCGAAACCTGCCAAGGTTGAGAAACACTGGTAAAACACCAAGATCTTTTCCACATTTATGAACTAGATTCCTATATTTTTTCACCCCAGAAGCCGAATTTCATATATATATATTTCCTGCTAAATTTTATCCTGTTGTTTTTATTGGCCATTCTGAATCTTTTTGAATATTCTCTTTCTCTTCCAAAGTGTTGATCCTTCCTCTTAATTTTACAACATCAGCAAGTCTGATAACCATTTCCTCAACTCCTTCATCCAGGCCATTAATAAAAATGTGCCCATGGTATCATTTCATTCAGTACTGCTCTTCAAGCTGATGTGGAGTTATTTATTATGTATACATGAAATCAGTACAGTATGCATAAAAAGTGAGTATACATAAATGAATCCATTGGGATGACAGTCATCCTTGCAAGCAGAGAGTCCCACAGTGTGCGAACCCTTTTAGTAATTCTTTGCAAAAGTCCTATCTGCTTTTCAGTTCTGGACAGAAAGATTTACAGGGTCTCTCCTTCCCCCGATTGCTTTTATTTCTATTTGTAGATGGAAACAATTCCCAAGTCTCTGTTCCAATGGCGTTCAAGCTCTTCTTTTTAGCAATTCTTTCTTGCAAAATTACTGCTTGCTTTTTCAGCTCTAAACCAGGGCATGTGTTTAGATTTATTTGTTATTTGCATTTGTGGTGGGTTTTTTTTTTTTTTGTATTTATAGTATATGTAGTATTATCTGTATTTATATTTGTCAGGCATTTATCTGGAATAGTATAGGGTCCCCTGCCTGAGCAGGGGAGTGACTAGAAGACCTCTAAGGGCCCTTCCAACCCTAGGTTCTATTAGAACTCAAACAGGGGTCAGTATTTCTTCCCCTCCAGTCTTAGAGACCTCTTAGGGACCTTCTGAGACCTCACCAATTTCTGGAGACAGTCTTGTATCACATCATATTTCATTTGTATATATGTCCCTGGAGGCTCCCTGATTAACTATTTTACATTTTCAGTAGACTGACGTATCCTACTAACAATAAAAGTGCAATCCCGAAATTAATCCGAAATTAATGTTATTTCAGATTTAAGCTCTAAACGTCTGGTTATTGTTTAAGACAAATTTGCCTCCCCCTTTTTTTTCGCCTTATTTATTGACTGTGTTCCTACTTAAACTGGCAAAAAAACAATGCTATTGTAGGGGGTTGGGGCTGTTGTTGCTTTTTTTGCAAACACTCTGCAGCTTCTGAGGGTGTCAAGATGACTAGAACACCTGCTCATTTTACAGAGTCTCCTCAACTCCTAGTGACAGCCGCAAAGCCTACAACGCTAGTAATCTTACACCCACTGAGCTGAACAATGCACCATCCAGGAAGTGGGTAATTTTTTCTGCCTTCAGGTCTTATCACCATCAGTTCTTGGAGAGGGGAGAGGAAGGCATCGAACCACTCATTTTGTGACTGTGTGCGTACATGGGGTTTCTGGTGCTGATTTCATAGGTTGGAGACAAACCCTGCCTTTTGGAATTTCATGTTCAGCTGCAAAGCAAAATGGGGAAGATTTAAGAAAAACCAAGAGGCCGATACAACTAAGCATAATACAGTGGAAGTTCTTCTTTGGCATGTATTTTGTTTCAAGGTTCAAAACAGGATGTATGTGTTCCTCACCCACTCTGCTGTGATACATCATGCTCCGTTTGCCTATAAAACATGTGAACCTGATGTTTCAGATAAAGATAGGAAACCGTTTCCTCTTCTCTACCACAAACTGCTTACCTCAGTCTTACTTCTTCTCTGTCTTCATGGACGCAATGGGAAAGGAAGTGCCGCCTTTCAATTACTTTGATTATCCCCCCCCCCCCCCCCCCCCCGTGAACACACGCACACCGAGCATTAAGCAGCCTCATTAAGCCCTGGAGAAAACCTCACAAACTTTATAGCCAGAACAGGTTCATCCATAAAGTCATTTCCCATTTGCACCCAGCCACAATATCAACATGCCCTGACAACACGACGTTGCCTCCTTTCTGCTTCATAGCCTAGGAGAAAGCTGTAGGAACCCCTTAGCTGCACACAATAAAGTCTGTCTTCTTGTTCCGGTACCATTCAAAATCAACATCAACATGTTAGACTTTGTCATTCATTAGTTAATGGAGAATATTCACGAATATTCAGGGCCTAAAGCAGAGGCAATTAAAGAGGAGCAGGAATCAGAAACAAACCCACTACAGCAGTGTTTCTGATGCTTGGCAACTTTAAGATATGTTGACTTCAATTCCCAGAATCCCCTAGCCTAGTGGTTCTCAGTCTTTTCTTCACCACAGACCTCCCCTTAAATACCTTTTGTGACCAAGAACCTTGGCTACAGACCCCCAAGACTTAACTCAATATTTAAATCATAACATTTCTTCAAGCCTTTGTGGACCCCCTGTGATGAAATCACACACACACACACACACACACACACACACACACACAGTCCAAGAGATCCATGAACCATAGATTGAGAACTGCTGCCCTAGCCAATATGCTGGCTGGGGAATTCTGAGAGTTGAAGTCCACACTTGAGAAAGACTGCTCTGCAGGATGCTTCTACAGTAATGGAATTTCTCCACAGCACATTCCACAACTGCATCGATTTCTGTGGGTTCAAGGACATGCAAAGGCTTCCAAATTCCTTCTGCTCAACTGTTTGATCCTTAAAGTATTCCAAAGGGTGTGTCATAACCGGTTCCACACATCAAGGAAAACCTTGTCCTCCCACATTCAATGTACTTTCTTCCCAGGACCTGGCTGGGATACTGGCCAGAAGTAAACAAGAAAGAAAAAGAGGATATTGAGGCCAATGTAGCTTGTCATAAAGCTATATTAAAGCCAGTGTAGCTTGTCACAGCTATTAAAGTAAAGATACTCTCTTGTTTCAGGACCTCAAGCCACAAATTCAATGGGAGTTTCTCCTTTTCCTCTGAATGGAGTCCCTGAAAAATTATTCCAAAGAAAGATGGGAATTTGATGGATTTATGGGTCATTTTCAAGAAATACAACATCTAATTAGATGCATTTTTCTCATTATTTGGAGGGTCCTCCCCATAGCATTTATGGACACCAATAAGCCAAGTATTCCTCTATGAGACTTCAGAATCATCTTCATTTCCAAAGGTGTTTATAAGCTGCATAATAATTTTTAGAAAAGGAAAGTGGAAAGACTTTACTTGATTGTGCTGTCCTGGCCAGAAGAAGACAGAATCAAGCTGAAGGGTTGTTAGGACTCTGCTATGCTGAAGAGAAGGAGAAATAATTATTTCATTATTTTGTTTTATGTAGAATCTGGAGTCTCCAAACTTGGCAACTTTACGATTTGTGAACTTCAACTTTCAAAATTGGAGAATTCTGGGAGTTGAAGTCCACAAGTCTTAAAATTTCCAATGCTAAATCAATGTTTTGTACCAAGGCTTCTATGGCAGCCTGGTACTTTATGGAAAGATAAGTTTAATGGTAGCAGGGTTTATTTTTTCAGTACCCAGGAAAATGAACCCATTAATAAAGAGGATGGAAATCCTACAGTGTTCTCCATCCATAGCCTCTGACTTAAGCCAACCATCTGAGCATTGACCTTTGAAAGTAAGATCACATTATTATTTCCAGGAATGTTTTAAAAGGCTCATCAGGGCAAAAAAGTTTTTAAAAAACTGGCATAGCCTATGCATTTGTTTTTCACACATTCCTTTTTTAAAATATACATATATAATTTTTATTAAAACTTTGAAACAAGAAGACAAAAGCTAACACAAATTAATAGGAAGGAAGGAAGGAAGGAAGGAAGGAAGGAAGGAAGGAAGGAAGGAAAAAGAAAAAGCAAGCAAGCAAACAATTGAAAAGAAATAAAAGCAAATATAAAGAAGTGGTCCCCAATACTCTTCACAGTCATTCTAAGTCCAATTATAGAATAGATAATAGAAGAGCAATGCGATGTCACTTTAAAGAAAGAGGTCAAAATATATTTGTATTTAGTTTTTCACACATTCCTGTGAGGAGCCACTACCAGTTATGGCTCTACCGAATGTAGCTTTGTGCAATATCATATGAGAAACTCTCCTCCTTAATAGAAGACATGAGAATTCATTTGCCAGCAAAACTGCAATATACAATTCAAATCAAACATTGCCCTCCAATGGCTGAAACTATGATGAGACCCAATTATTTCTGTAACTCACTGTAACCTTCCACCAGAGTCTGTTTAATGATAGAAAGAAATATAGATGATCAGTACCTCCCTACAAAATGAACCTTTTATTCAATTTTGGATAATGTTTGGGATCTCAGCTAATTATCACTAACATTTTCTTTGTGGACAAGTTTTGTATACTTTATGTCCTTACAGGTAACCTCAGATTTTAATATTATTAATATGCTACAGGAAGATTTCAGATATGCAGTGCATGCAATAAAGTGAAAAAATATTTCTGAGCAAGAAGAATTCTGCAAGAAAGAATAGGAAAAAAATTATAAATAATTATAAACAAATTATACAAGATAAAGATTATAATCTGGCTACAGGAAATGTTTGTAAGCCTTTATTTCTGCCAAGGGAGATGCTACAAAGTGCCTAACCTTTTTCATAATCCTGTATATTTCCATACTCATCAAATGCCTGGAGCTTATTTCAGTGGGAAATAAGAGAATCAAACAAATTCACCAGAGAGAGATAAGTTTACAAAAGCATCTTATGGTACATAGATACATAAATAGATTTTTTAAAAGGTAGGAAGGCCTTTCCCTTAGGAAAAAAAAAGAGTAAAAGGCACAAGCATGATTGTGCATGCCTATATATATATGTATATATGTATATGTTTTTATGTTAATTGAATTTCTCTTTAAATATCCAATCCAGCTGGGATACTCTTCCTATTTGAGTCCCAGCCCTGTCAACGGTGAATAACTCACCTCTTCGAATTGTGCAATAATCTGTACTTTGGAAAGCATCACTCTGGGCAGCTAAATATTAAAAAAAAAGCATAAAAGGAAGAAAATGTCCAGTGCAAACCGACTGAGGAAGTCAGTCTCAGATCTGTGTCATCAAACAGATCTTTTTTCAGACAGTTGGCTTAGCTTGACCAAAAACATGGTCAGTCTTTTCCAACCCAAACATGACTTGCAAGGCAAGCTCCTGTCTGGCTCCTGATCTCTTCACTGCCTTCTTCACAGCACTTGAACATCCCAAATCTGTGTGGGTCTCTCTTCAGAGGATTCCCAGAGGACAGCGTGATCCCGGTCATAAGTTCTGCCTCCTGCAAGAGAGGAGGAAAGGGTGAGTGCGCGTGGGAAAGAAGCAGTGGGAAGTTGTACATAAACTACAAGGCACAACGTGGGAGATCAATTTCTTCCAATATCATTTCAACTTGGTCCAGTCTAGGTAGTCCTCCACTTACAAACAAAGTTGAGCCCAGCATTAAAAGCCCATATTAAGTTAATATTATACACTATTGACATATTTCTACATCACTAGAAGATAATGCAGATCATGTGCTATATTACTGCAATTAGCTATATTACATATTATACTGTATATGAAATATTACTATGAAAACACAGATAAGCATTTTAAATGCATGAGAACAATTCCAGCATGCTTTTTAACATATTCATATGCATTAACTATATATGCATTTTAAGCACAAGAACTATATTATTATAACGTATTCTGTTTCACATAGCGTATCCATGCATTTTAAAGACTCTTACAATATGAAATGTTACATTGCTGTATTAACTATTTGTGTAATTATCTATGTTATCATGAGGTAATGTCATATAATGTCATATACATAATATATTACAATATTTCACCATAATGCATATAAGCAATTTAAACAATATCAACTATTAAATATTGTTGTAATATATATGTTGTCTTACATATCTATAAATTACTATGACATAATGCCTACAAGAAACACAGGGTATCAAGCACTACTGTATATTGTTGTGATTCCTGTAACCTTTAACTGGGCAAAATGGGACAAAACCTTCTGAACCAAAGTACTTCAAATGGTCTAATTTACAGAATGTGTCCAAAATCTAGGATGCCATGACTCCCCTAATTTGGCAAAATTTATAAAGCATTTTGTGACATAAACGTTACCATAAAGCAGTCTATGACATTATACAAAATATCATTAAACGTTTCCTGTTCTGATGTTTGACTGTGCTATGCAGTTCAACATGGGCTATTTTCAGGGGTGGAACTCAAAAAATCCCAGCAACCAGTTCGCTGCCCAGTTGCTGGGTGGGTGTGGCCATGGTGGGTGTGGCCTACCAGAACTTCCTGTTTCTGGTTTCCCGTGGACTTTCTCCTTCCCAAGGGTCCAGAGGTTTTCCCCAGGCCTCTGGGAAGGTGAAAAACAGCCTCCCCCGGGCTCTGGAGGCACATTGGAAGCTGGAAACAGGCCCGTTTCACGACCTCCGGTACTTCCGGAAGAGGCGTTTTTCGCCATCCCAAGGGTCTGGAAGCCTCCCCCGGGCCTCTGGGAAGGTGAAAATGGCCTCCCCCGGGCTCTGGAGGCCCTCCGGAAGCTGGAAACAGGTCTGTTTCCAGATTTCCGGAAGGCCTGTTTTTCCCCCTCCCATTGCGTGGAGACTCCTGGAAGGGAGGGGAGGGGCAGGGTAGGCGGGGCCAGCCGGTCAGTTGAAATATCAGTTCGGCGGACCAGATGTAATTTTAACATCCGGTTCACCCAAACCGGTTTCAAACCGGTAGAATCTCACCCCTGGCTATTTTTAAGGCAGACATGTCTCTCAATATATATATTCCGATTTTTCCACGGAAGGCAGTATATTAGAAGCTCTGTCATTGTTGAAGACATTGAGGAATCTGGTAAGCAAATATCTTTAAAACAATGCCCCGATGCAGCACAGGTTGTTTAGTCTCTCCTAAATCCTGTCTTCTGAAATTGTTCTTTGGAGCTAAATTAGAATTAGCTCAGAATTATCACTCCCTATTCTCTTACCTTTCACATCTAGAACTTTATCTTCAAACATCTGGCTGCATATTCTCCCAGATGAATCAATTCTCCATGTCTGCCGAGGCATTCGACTCTCAGACCATAACACCACTTTGGTGCCCTTTGCAGCTGCACCAATCACCTGGAGACTCATATTGGGTGCAACCTGAAAACCAAGAACAGGTTAAGCATTTTTACCAATTCTGGTAAAAAGTAGCATTATTAGTACTCTTTATCTTCGTCTTCAAGTAGCATTAATTATGAGATCTTTCCTCAACCTGATCTGGTCTAGATACATTGGAGGACAATCTCGATAATCACCATGAATAACAGCTATTGGATTAGTTGGCTGAGACTAAAGGGATTATATCCTCCAACAAAGGTAGACATTATTGGCTTGTGCAAGACTTTCAACTCTTGGATGATACACCTCCATCAATGGTTGCTAATCATGATGACCACTTATTAAGTCCAGGATAAGAAGCAACTGAATTTGGGGGACCAGAAATATCTGGTTAACAATGTTGGCTTTTGGACACTAGGCCTCCAAAACCTCTTTCCTGACATTTCTATGGATGAATGGACAATCTTGCCTGTCTTTGGAGGCAACCATGTGATCTTAGTGATGGCCCAAAAGCCACTACAAACATTTTAAAAGATAGAGAATTTGCATTCTGCTACAGGATAGTACAGGATCATGGGTTACTACATAATGATTATTTAGAAAAAACAGAATCTTGGAGAAACTGAAGTAGCCAATATAGATGGACAAATTGAATTGTTTTATTCACTCCAGAGGTGGAGGACGATCTGAGCAAGTGGGATAGAAATCTAATGAAGAGATCAAATGGAGAAATGGTTGGAATTCTTAATGTTGCAAGTCCCACATCTAGGATATATACTCATCTTGCTTGTTTCTACACTATTTGTCCTACAGGTAGACAAGTTCCTCGGACCTGATATAAATGTTTGGATATGTCTAGAACCAGATTGATACATTCTTGATTGCCTCAATCTCTATCTCTATCCAGGCGGATGAAGGTCCTTACATGGTTCTTTATAAGTCCCTCTTCATAGTACCAGATGCTGCTGTTCTGGTCACTGATCTCCGAAACCAGAACTCGTCCAGCTTTCATGTCTTCAACATCATCGGGCACAGACAGGAAGGACTTCAACTCTTGATTTTTTATTCGGAAATAGACCCTTCTCTGCAAAAAGGGGAGGAGAGAACAAGGTAAACATGGCACACTGTGAATTAGTTTGAATTGTCTGTGCTTGTAAACAAGTCCTGTACTGTGGAATAATATCTCTACAGAATTGGTAACCAAGATTGGGAATGCTTACTTAGATGTTACAGTTACAGGAACACAGAGCAACAAAAATACAGGCAGAAAATTCTGGTTGCAAAGAATTATATTGGTCATAGAATTGAAAGATGCCCCCAAAGTCCTCTAGCTAGCCTAACTCTTGGCCCCAAGAAGAAATGCACCATATAGAGCAGGGGTCTCCAACCTTGGCAACTTTAAGACTTGTGGACTTCAACTCCCAGAATTCCTCAGCCAGCTTTGCTTTCTGGGAGTTGAAATCCACAAGTCTTAAAGTTGCTAAGGTTGGAGACCCCTGATATATATAGAGAAAACCTTCCTTCTTCCTTTTCAGGAGAAGAGAGACCACTGTTTTACAAACATTTTCTTTCCAAAAGAGCTTATACTCTTGAGATATTATTCCTAATGCAGACCTGCAATCCTTTCTTAGATGAAGAAGCAATATGTATAATGTATTTCTTAGTTATAACATACATAGAAATCTCCTATCTGTTTGCTTTATTTCCTTCTAGCATCCCTCACCCTACCCAAGTGCCACCAGAGTTGAGTCTGGTCATTCAGTTCCTCCCATGTTTACCCATCCATCCCAGATGATCAGAAAACTGTGAGACTCACCTGCTTGATGGGATACAGGGAGCCAATATGTTGAACCCCACTGTATGTCGGCCAGTTGGTGATCTCTATGCATTCTAAAACCCACTGACGGCCTCGGAAGTCACTGTGTTCGCACAGCACCCAGCTGTGAATTGGCATGAAACCAACCATAGAAAGAAAAGCATTAACAAAAATCCCATTGATCACTATCAGCCATCAAATATTTTTTGTTCAAAGAAGCCCAGGATACATTAATTGTTCCAAGAGAAGAGAATATTTGCAGCTCAGGGTTGAACTGTGAGGTCCTTGGTGCTCTCTGAACTTGGTTGTTTTCTTGCAGATGTTTTACTACCCAAGTAAGTAGTAGGGTTACTACCCCTAACTTTTCATTACCAAACTATGGAGATAATGGTGATTACTACACAACACTGATGATGTTACCTAATTAGGTAATGAAACATCTGCAACAAAACAATCAAGCTCAAAGAGCACCAAGGACGCTATACATTTATTCTGTACACAATCAGTCTCAAGAAGAAATGTGTACTGCCTTGAAAAATGATAATATTATAGCAATGGCCCTCAATTAATGTTCTCTTGAGATGTGTTGGCTTTCAAACCACCCAGTCCTTCAGTCAGTGAGAGCCAGTTTGATGTAGTGGTTAAGGCACCAACTATTCTAGCCCTACTTTAGGCATAAATCCAGTTGGGTGACCTTAAACCAGTCCCTCTCTCTCAGCCCTAGGAAGGAATAATGGCAATCCACTTCAAAAAAAATCTTGCAAGAAAACTGGAAGGACCATTCCAGGCAGTTGCCAAGAGTCAATGCTGACTTGAAGGCACAAACCCAGAATCCTTCAGAGGCACCTGTGGTAACCAAAGCCAGAATAATCAAATAAGAACAAATGCAAAATATGCACCTGAAGACATATATTAGAAGGATATGCATATAAAAAGCATTGCTCCATGGTGAAAATGGCTGATACAATTACACAAGGAGGAAACAATTTGAACAATAATGTATAAACACTATTGAAAATGGATTCAATGTTCAGATAAACATTTTGAGACAACTTCATGAGAAGCTGGGCTGAATGTGTGGTCTGGAAGGAGACAAACTCAATGCAAAGTGAAATGAACCAACAGTCCACCTCCTTATTTTTTTTTTCTTTACTTACATCCCACCCTTTACTCGAACAGAGAGCACGTGATTATTGAACCCTTCAGCTTTCAAACTGCGTACTTCACTATTCAACTCAATCTCTTTCCCTTCGAAACACTCCAATCCATGCAGAAAGATGGAAGGCTCAGAGAAGAACTGTAAAAAAACCAAGACAAGTAAAGAAAAGGATGAAAGAAAGGTAGGGTTATTCGGTGAAACAATAAAATGTGGGCTCAAAGTATGCTTGAAAAGCTTTTCGGTGAGAGGTTGACACGCCATTCTGAATTCAGTAAAGAATTCAAATTCTGTGAGTGGTTGCTACTCCGGTTTAAAAAATTTAAAGAGTTTAAAGTATGAGATTGATTTTGGAAAAGACGTCCATGCAGATGACCATAACAGGTATAAATTATGCCAAGGAGTACAGATTTCCTTTTTCTGGGTTGATATCGAGGTCTCTGCTTGGAAAAATGGGAGAAAGCTGAGTGATGATGGACAGTATAAGGCAGCTTTCCCATGAGGTGTTCTTCAGAAGAATGTTGTATCACCATTCCCATTGTCATTGGTCTATACAGCCTATAATCAAGTTGGCTGAGGATGATGTAAACTGTAATCCAATGCTTCTGAGAGGCACAACACAATGAGGTATAAAAGAAATACAACATGCAAAATTATTGCATGAAGGAACATAAGGAGAGCATTAAGACCATTGTTCCACCTAGCCTGGGACTTTCCTTTCCACAGTGACCTAACAGCACTGTCAGAAGCCCATGGGCAGGAACAATGCTCTTCTTGATGCCCCCAACACCAAGAAATTGCCCTCATGGCTCAAATCAAATTACTGCAGACATTTTGACTAGCTGACCAATCATTTCCATATCTTGTAACAAGCAGTTTCTTAATTGTTCCTAATGTGAAAGTGTAACTACTTCTTCCCATCCTGAACTTATACTTCCCAAAATTGGATAATCAAGAAGAAAAAGACCCTCTTGAGTCAAACTTGGCAATGTATTTTTCTCTGCAGCAACTGAGTAATAAGAACTCCAGTTAAAGGCTTAGAAGCATGGTCATCTTTACTTACAATAGGGATCTTCTTCAGAGAGCAGATAGCTGGGGTGAAGGCACAACCCATGGAGCTCAGTGTTGGATACTCGCCTTCTGAAAGGATGTGCTGCTCACCATCAAACTGGTGGCCATCATAAAGAATCCAGCTAGGAAGAGACAATTTGAATTTGACCTGTGTGACTTTAGAGACAGAGACCAAAAGCTCATCAACAAAACAATTATGAGTTCATGGAAACCCGGTCTCCCTTTAAAATTTGCCATAACACCCTCTGAAGAGCAAACCAGCATCTTACTGAAAACACACTCACCTGGGAAAAATGGCTAGAAAGATTGGAAAATGAAAATGGAAATGTTGTTCTTAGAAAAAGACAATACACTTTTTATAATTATATATATAATATAATCCCAAAGAAGGCACAGGGATTCCTCTTAGAGGCTCAAAAGAAAAATGTTGACTTCACTGCCCTCATCCACTTTTCCTTGCTACAAGTATACTATGGAAATTTTTTTTCCTCTGTTGTCTCCCCCCACCCCCCATTGACGTCAATGGCTCAGTTGACAGGACTGCCTGGGGAAATCCCACAAAATGACTCAGAATTACATTTTAACTACTTTGACATTGGTGCTTTAGATGAAAAGTTATCAAGCCATTCAGTCATTTCACTCTCTGAACTGTACTTTGGATAGACTTCTTTCCTTTTGAGAAGTGCTCCTGTGCAGAAATGAATAGACTAACCCTTGCAATTAAAGAAAAGGAACAAACTGAATATTATGTGATATGGGAACTATTTTATCAATGGCTGGAGAATAGAAATGGAAATTGGAAATTAAGGAAGACTAGCGAAAAGAGAATACATGTGAATAAGAATTAAATATATTAAGAAGGGGATTGTTATAATAATTAGATATATTATGCATAGTAGTATAAAGTAAATATAGAGTACTGATATGAATATGTATTAATTGTTATTGTTATTGCACAAGATATTTGTACCCAGATGTCACACTGTTTAAATGGAAGATGGACTGTTGGTGTAAATTAAAATAAAAAGATTATTACAAAGAGAGAGAGAGAGAGAGAGAGAGAGACAACTGCTTCAATTCCCTCCTGTAGAAATCTCTGGGCCCTCCTTCCTTTTCCCTAAATGGAAGAGAACCGAGTACCATTCCTTTGGGATCCAGAGCAGGAAATACTGGCAGAATGGCAAGGAGAAGATGAGAATGAATGAAGGAGGCCCTGCTGATGAGAGATCCTTACCTGCCTCCACTGACCCTACAGGAATGGGGGATGAAGTTCTCTGGAAGAGTTGCTTGGTCCTCCTTAAAAGTCACGGAGTTCCCCGAGAAATCAGGCTCTGGGAAAAGTTGGATCTGGGGAGTCAAAAAATTCTAAATGTGAACAAGAGATAGACTGAAGTGGCTTGGAATAACTGTCTCGTAGTTGTAATCATCTTATTTTTAAAATGATGGTTTTCGTAATTCCATAAGGAAAGGAAATGGTTTTGCCTTCCCCATGCTGGCTGGGGAATTCTGGGGGTTGAAGTCCACCCATCTTAAGGTTGAGAAACACTGAAACATTGCTCACAGGGCTGCAGGGAGACATTCAAAGGATGATCATTATTTTATAGGTGAACCTAATGTATTACAATAAGAATATGATTATTGATCCTGCTTCTCTGAAAATACAGCATCTATAAAATATAAATAACCTGATCATTCAGTTACTACAGGAGAAAGCAACATTTTTTTTAATCTGGGAAGGGAGGTATGCTGCATTTTTAATTTTTATTTAGCTAATTTCCTGCAAGGAACATAGGAATCATGGCAATAATGCTATCGGAAGAAGCACAGCAAAGGTTATGAAATTTCAGGAAAGCTATATTAAATACAGCCTTTATTTATTATTGGGATAGGAGAGGGAAGCAATCCAGTTTAGTAAAGGCTCCAGAAGCACCATGTAAAGCCTTTGGGTTTGCCCACCTCTGATTTAATGGACCAAACCAACTCAAATGTGGTAATCTAGCTTGAATAGCGTAATGTGACATAAAAACTACCTTCATGTTTTGCTTCTCAGTGCCAGCTGCTCACCTTAGAAATGAAGAACAGGCTGTGTTCCCCAACCTGGTAGAGAGAGAAGTGGGAAATAAAAGTGAATTATGACACAGTATTTAGACCAGGTTCAAGAAAAGTACAGTTAATTACTGATGGGGTGATCTGACTAGCAGATCCTTACCTGTAGGACAGGTTGCACAGAGGAAATCTGGCAACTGTTTGCTCCCCAGTCTTCACAGTTGCGATATACTCCTTTCTCCAAAATGTATTGTTTCCCACTGAAATTCTTGCCTTCATAGGCTACCCACCTGGTCACAGCAAAGGAAATAAAATTATCCCCAGCTCCATATTCATGTACTAATTGCAAAATAGTGTTCTGGTGAGGTATCAGTTCTACCCCTCTGTTATCCTTCAAAAGCTGTTACAGTTGAGATCTAAAAACATGAGTGCTTCAAGAGGCCCTTAGTCCCAGGAATGCTGAGATGACAGGATTTAGTATTGTAGCCAGCCTGGCCAAACTTGGGACAGGAGGAAGTTTGAAAGCTAACATTGCTGGTTGAGAATTTAGAAAGTTGATATCCCAATACAGGTAGTCCTCAATTCACAATCATTTAGGGATTCGTTCAAAGTTACACCACCACTGAAAAAAGTGATTTCATTTTTCACACTTACGAGCATTGCAACATCTCCATGGTCATGTGATTTACATTCAAATGCTTGACAAATGGTTCATATTTATGATGGTTGTAATATTCTGGGGTCATGTGATCACTTTTTGTGACCTTCTGATGAGCAAAGTCAATGGGAAAGCCAAATTCACTTAACAATCATGTTATTCGCTTAACAACTGTGGCAAGAAAAAATGTAAAATGGGTCAAAACTCAATTGACAAATTTCTCACTTAGCAGCATAAATTCTTTGCTCAATTGTGGTTGTAAATCAAGGACTACTTGTACATCTGGAAGATGCGTTGAGTAATGCTGGTGGAGCAATATGAGACTTTACAGCAGGGATCTCCAACCTTGGCAACTTTAAGACTTGTGGACTCTGGGAATTGAAGTCCATAAGTCTTAAAGTTGCCAAGGTTGGAGACCCCTGCCTTACAGAATAACAGAGTTGGGAGGGGCCTTGGAGGTCTTCCAGTCCAACCTGCTCAAGGAGGAGACCCTATAGCAGGAGTGTCAAACACAAGGCCTGCAGGCCGGATATGGCCAGCAATGTGGTTGGATCTGGCCCATGGGGCCGTCCTAGAAAATATAAGGGGCCAGCCTGTGGCACTTTGGCCCAGTCTACCCAATGCAAAGAGGAAATATGCCAGCTGTTTGGGGAGTGGCATCAAACTGGCTACACCTACCCAGTTGGCCACACCCACCCAGTCACCCCCCCACACACACACACCCGAGGTCAGCCACAGTCCTGCTGCAGCCCTCAATGAAATTGAGTTTGACACCCCTGCCCTGTAGAATTTCAGACAAGTAGCTGTCCAGTTTCTTCTTTAAAATCTACACAACTTCTGAAGGCAAAAAGTTCCAATGGTGAATTGTTCTCAGTGTCAAGAAATTTCTTCTTATTTCTAAGTTTCTCTCCTTGATACAGCAGTAGCTAATGCTCTTTGCTGCATTTCTCTCTCCCTCTTTCTCTCAGTCATGTGTTCACTTGGCCACCATTTCACTTAACAACCTGATCGCTGGAACAGTACTTGATTATTAAATGAGGAACGGGTGTACTCCAAGGAGGGCTCTGTATCATCCACTTCTGAATATCTTCTACTTTCCCCAGAACTGAAAGAAAGCTTCAGTCCCTTTTGTCCCGGTAACAGACTTTGCCTATTTCCATCAAGGTCGTCTTCCTTACTCTCTACATTTCCTCAGCAAATACTCACACTCCATTCAGGACGTGGATGGACTGTGTTATGATCCCGTAGTTGGCCAGCTCAACATCTGGCAGGGCCTCACTCAGCTCAACACTGGGGCCATCTTCAAAATCCATGGCTTCAAATAGTACAATGGCTGGATCCACAAAGTCCTGCCCAGGGATGAAAAAAAAATGATAGCATTTGCCCACATTCTTGATAGAATCACCTAGAATAGCCCTCTGAATAGCCCTCAAGTTATCCCAGGGTCATGTGATCGCCTTTTGCAACCTTCTGACAGGGGGAAAACTCATTTAACAACAGTCTTAGTACTGGGAATTTGGGGCTCCATTGCAGTTGTAACTCAAGGATTATATGTGCATTGTTACAATAAATCCTCCTTTCTCAAAATACTACTTTCAAGTGAGTAACACGATGGTAGATGAGGCACAAAGATGCTTTTTTGTTTTTTATGTCTTTATTAAGTCTAAGTCACCTGAATGAGATATTATTCCCCACAGCAAAGAGAAGCAGAGATGATTAAATTGATTATTTTATCCAAAGAAGAGAATATATCTAACCTTGTCTCTATTTTGAAATTGCGTCCGGATTTTGATTGCAACGGGAAAAAAATTGAAAGTTTGATTTTGTTTTTGAAAACTAGATAGACTTTTTGTTATAAAAATGGTTTGTACAGCAAAAGTTGTGGTTGTAATGTTGTGATCTTCTAGTGTGCTAAAGAGAGTAGCAATCGGTGCCTTTTTTTTTCTTTTTGTCCTTTATACTATATCTCTTTTTTTCCTTTGTCCCCTTTTCTTAGTTTTTCACATCTGTTTTTTTTTCTTTGTATTTTATACTTGGATAAACTAATAAAATTTGAATTTAAGAAAGTCTAAATCACCTTTACTTGTGTGGTTGCCACCTTTTGAGTATTCCACTTTTTTCATGGATACCCCACCACTATCCGCACCTCTGGTCTCATTATATTGTTCTCATTGTATTGTTCTCATTGTTTGTGTTTGTTGTGATATTTAGATTTTTAGGGAAGTTGTGTACATTAAAATTACACTAGAAGTGTGATAGTGAAGACTTTAGGAATCCCTCCTCTAAAGCCATGTTCCTCAACCTTAGCAACTTTAAGATCTATGAATGTCCACTCCCAATATTCCCCTGCCAGCAGGAATTCAGGGAGTTGAAAGTTGAGGTCCATACATTCTAAAGTAGTTTTTGTTGAGAAACATTATTCTAAAGATTAAACATTTTCTTACAGATTAACAAAAGTTGGAAGGGACCTTGTAGGTTGTCTAGTCCAACCCCCACCCACCCAAGCAGGAGACCCTACACCATTTCTGACAGATGGCAGTCCAATCTCTTCTTGTAAACCTCCAGTGATGAAGCTCCCACAACTTCCGAGGGCAAGCTGTTCCACTGGTTGAGTGTTCTCACTGTCAGAAAATTCCTCCTTATTTTCAGGTTGAATCTCTGCTTGTTCAGTTTCCATCTGTAATTCCTCCTCTGGCGTTCGGGTGTTTTGGAAAATAGTTTTACCCCCTCCTCTTCTCTGTGGCAGCCCCTCAAATATTGGAATACTGATCATGTCTCCCCTGGTCCTTCTCTTCCCTAGACGAGCCATGCCCGGTTCCTGCAACCGTTCTTCGTATGTTTTAGCCTTCAGTCCCCTAATCATCCTGGTTGCTCTTCTCTGTACTTTTTCTAGAGCCTCGGCATCTTCTTTTATAGTGTGGTGACCAAAACTGGATGCAGTACTCTAGGTGTAATCTTAGGTGATACTGCAGAACCAAAGCACCATAGATATCTCATTTTTAATTCAGTGAGCCAATGGGCAGACTTACTGTCCGGATCAGCCTCAGCGACAACAGGTCTTCATTATAGCCAGCCCAATCTGTCCAGTCGCAGTACTCTCCTTCTTCCAGTAGGTACTGATGGCCACGAAAACCTTCTTTCTCATAGCCAACCCAGCTGGAGATGACAATAGACGAACAATAAAAGAGGGGGAAAGAGGGAAACTACTCCGATTCCTGAATATAAAACTACTTTCTTTCTCTCATGTCTATGGAGATTCTCAATCATCCAGGTCATGGTCATCTCAAAGTTGCTTTTCCCAAAGGCAATTGGGCTTTCTTAGATTTTGTTCCTTGAAAACATTTTGCTTCTCATCCAAGAAGGTTCTTCAATTCTGATTGAATGGCGACTGACCATTCAGTCAGAACTGAAGAAGCTTCTTGGATGAGAAGCAAAATGTTTTCAAGGAAAAAAAAAAAAACCCCAAAAAGTTCAGTTGCCTTTTTGGAAAAGTACCTTTGGGACATTTCTTTCTTTCCATTCCAAAAATCAGCCTATATAACAACGGACAATATGGTTCCTGTAGTGAAAATATTATTTTTGTATTTATCTTTTTCTCTAAAATCCTTTTCCTTGTTAAATATGTATTTTTATGATTATTTTTCATCAATGATATTCTTGAGTGCTAATTGTACAACTTTTGTAATTTATTTGTCCAGTTACTGATACAATATTTTTGCATCATTTTTTTCTTTGATTTATTTATTTCATGGTTCTGGATGGATCCCCCAGTGATGTACAGATGTATATTGTAATAAAAATATAATAAAATATAATATGATGCAATAACAAACAGTAATAAAATAAACAATAGTAATAACAATCAGCAAAAATATTGTTTTAAAGCCCAGGATGGCTCGCCTTTGCCTAGCTAAGGAACTGTATGCTTTTTTTGGAAGAAATTAATGTTTTTGCTTCCCAGAATTGCTATAGGAGAAGGAACATAATACAAATGGGGGAAATTGTGTCAACCAAAATTGCTCACCAGCCTCCTATGATTTTCAGAGAACCAGCGGTGGACATCATGGAATCCTGGTTGTTTTCTGGCTTCCTTAAGCTGTAAATATCTCGGTTTACTTCCCAGCTATGGCCCTGAAAATGTGGCCTCTCAAAAATTAGAGCCTGGGAGAAGAAATAATGATAGGGAATGAGATGAACATTTACTTGGCTTACACATTTTTAATACTGGTTTTAAGAATAAAAAAGAAATATTGGGATGGAAGAATGAATAAATGCTGAGATTCCCATCTGTAATCACAATAACAGATAGTCCTTGAGTGACTTATGACTGTTTTTTCACACTTGTGACCCCCCATTGCAATAGCCATATGGTCATGTGATCAAAATTCAGGCACTTGGCAACTGGCCATGTGCATTTGTGATACTTGCACTGTTCTGGGGTCATGTGATCATGAATTACAAGCTTTCCAGCCAGCTTCCAACAACCAAAGTCAATGAGGTGAGCCAGATTCTCTTAACAACCACATGATTCACTTAACAATTGCAGTAATTTGCTTAACACATGTGGCAGAAAGGTCATACAATGGAGGACAACTCACTTAATCCGTTGCCTTGCTTAGCAACATAAATCTTGGTTGAGCTCCATTTCAGTCATTAGTCGAGGATTATCTGTATACAGAATTTAGAAGAACCTGGGAGGTCATCTGGTCTAACCAATTAGCCGTAAACTGTGCGTAAGGTTTACCTTACTGTGGACACCATAACGAGTTTTTATTTGATTGTTCAGTCTATTTCTATAGCTGCCCAACTCTAATAAGTGACTCTGTTTGACACTTTTTATCTTCCTTTCATCTAAGATAACATGCTTATCTTTTTATGCCCAATTTTCTATCTTTGAATATAGTGTAGTGATAGGTGAGAAAGACCTTGGGAGACTGGGCAAAGAGATGGTGTCAACCGTCAGCTAAAAGGCAATGTCACTCACAGCTAGAGAGTTGGAGGATTAAGGGGTTCAGAAGAGACCCACCCTAGATTCTTGGGCTGTAAAGGAGACCGGTGGGGGGAGAATTGTACTTTCAAACTTGCAAGATTGTTTCGCTGTGGTTTTACTAGAGATAGAAATAGCTCATTTGTTGTGGTTCTTATGTGGCTTCCCCCTTGTTTGAAACAAACGCAAAAGTAAAGTATTTTCTTCCACTTCTGTACATTGGGTACTTTTTTTGTCTAAAAAAAGAAAGCTGTTTTTTCCTGACACCAACCCCTTGTGGAAAGCAGAAACATCCTGCTTGCCAAGTTGTTCGACTTTCTATTGATTTCAGAAGCCAATTTAATCAGCAAATTTGATCTTAATCCTTTCTAAGCAGGTTCAATCCCCTGTACTTAATGTCACAATAACTATAGGATCTATAGAGACTTCTATATATCTATACTATCACTTCATTTTCTCTGTTTACATGAGGTGTGTTTACAGATTATAATGTAGTTGACTGTTTATGAGAAGATGCAAGAGTTTGAAAGAAGGGGAGTGAGATAGATGAAGGCAGACTTTTAAAGATAGTATGAAGGAGGTGCATTGCGTGTTATAGGTCCCATTCAGCATATTAATGGATTAATCTAACTGTAGCCGAAATTTCAAAACCATTTCTGGAGATTTCTAAAGCAAAATCTTTAGAAATATGTAACTTGCAAGCACCATAAAATAAAGCCTATTCTATAGGTTTCTACAAAATGTACAGATTGGCCTATTTTGTATTCTTATTTTATTGTGCATACAAAGGTAAAATGATTCTGACATCCAAACTATAACATATATAATATACATACACAGGGGTTTGTGTGTGTTTGTGCATGTGTGCATGTGTGCATATATTCTTCTAAAAAATGCAATTTTGCAGCAAACTCAGATTCTCTATCTCTACTTTTTGCAAGGATGAGTTTCTATCCAACAATCAGACTTGGCCATGATCCCATTACCTTGGGCTCTGCAGGAGTTTCAACAACTGGAGAACTCTGAAATGAGAATAAACAAAAGAGAACATTCTACAAATGGATTTATCAATTATGGTTTCCCTTTTAGCTCATCATTAACTAGATTTTTGACACATTTTTGGGTACCACTTTTGCATAAGAATTCTTCCTGACGTTAGATTACCATCCATTTAAAATTGTCTTGCTTTGAATTTTAAAATAAGAACTGATTAAAAATTTCAAACTTCCTCACAAATAGCATACACTTAACATTTAAAAAGTTCATAAGTAGGAAAGAAACAGCCTGATCAATTCACCGGCACAAGCAGAAAGTTTTGATTCCTTAGTTCTTTTACAAATGAAAAAAGTCAAGCATATTTATAGCACCGAACTTGGACTGTGATATGTTTTTTTTTAAAGTTATATTCTGGCTGAAAGTATCTGTGCTGGAAATTGTAGCAGCTGCTTAATTCACCTAGTTCAGAGAGGCAAAAGCAAGGGAGTGCATGGAGGTCAAAAAAGTCAAAATGGCAACTGTAACCACATAATTAAAGCTTGGTCCATTTTAACATATATCACTAAAAAAGACAGGACTTCATTCCCTTACTATTGCCATCTTAATATTTTTCCCCACACTCCTACCCCTGAAAGGTAAGTATTGGGTAAGAATTGAACAAAATTGATACATTTCCCCTCAATCAAGACAAAAGGACTTGTAATTTTTTTAAAAAATGTGGAAGAAACTATCACAGGTAGTCCTCAACTTACAACAGTTCACTTAATGAATGTTCAAAGTTACAATGGTGCTGAAAAAATTGACTTATGACTGTTTTTCTCACTTAAGAATGCCGCAACATCACCATGGTCACGTGATTTGGATGCTTGACAACTGACTCACATTAATGATGGTTTCAGTGTTCTTGGGTAATGGGATTGATTCCCTTTTATGACGTTTTGACCAATAAAGTCAATGAGGAAATCAGATTCACTTAACAACCAGGTTGCTAACTTATCAACTATAATGATTCACTTAACAACTCTGGCAAGAAAAGTTGTAAAATGGGGCAAAACTCACTTGACAAATTTCTCACTTAGCAACATAAAAGTTGGGCTCAACTGTGGTCATAAATTGAGGACTACCTGTACTGGTACCAAAATGCTTTCTTTTTCCTCCAAAGCCCTTTGATAAAAGTTATATCTCTTTGAAGAATGTGCAAACAAATGTTTAAATGCATTGGCTCCTTCAACAGCTTCAATGCTCTGCATGGCTCTTGATGGTTTTACGGTGCTGCTATTCCAACAGTTCCATACTGGTTTCCTTTTTAAGACAAGAATTGGGTTGCCTAAGTCATCTTACTGATTTCTGAATCAGTCAGAAGGGGAGGAGGTTGCTGAGTTAGTCGAAACTGCACTTATGTCACAGCATGGGCCTGCCCGTGACTTCAGGACACTGCAATGTTGGCCAAAGTATAACAACTCCCTAAAAATAAAGAATATAAAGGGAGATATTCCTAGAACAGCCCAACCAGGACTGAATGTACTAATGGGTGTGTGGAAAAGATAGAAAATTAAGAAAGGGAGTGGAATAAAGAACCGCAAACTTGCATTCCACAGCGTAACATCTAGTTACACGTCTCGCCTGCTTCAATAAACTAAGTAAGCAATGATTAAGTAAATGAAGAAACGTACAAACATGCATGCATTAATTTGTATGAGGCACTACACTTTTCTTAAACAAATTAAAAACATGTGTGGTTAAAGAAACAAACCTGTTATTCAGCTGACTTGCACAAGTAAAATACCAGTTGAGTACATTTGATGAAAGTGACCCAACATTTTTTTTATAAAAAAAATGCTGTATCTGTACTATTTAAACCTGCCCTATCAGGCTAAGAACCAAATAGACAATTTGTAAAATAAATTTTGCAATGCACATTGCCTACGTCTTTAACATATTCAGGATTTCCATACATGGTATTTGTGTTGCTCTGATATCGATGGGATCATCAAGGATGACTAAGTAGTTTCTCAGCTAACTCACGTGATTTTATTTCTGGCTTACCTGCAATTGGTCTCAAATTGCAATTCAATAAATCCCCCTTTTAAGACTATGAAGCTTTACAGCAGTGTCTCCCAACCTTCGCCATTTTAAGATGTATGGACTTCTGGGAGTTGAAGTCCATACACCTTTACGTGGCTAAGGTTGATAAACACTGCTCTAAAGCAAGGTTTCTCAACCTTAGAAAATGTAAGATGTATGGACTTCAACCCCCCAAATTCTCCAGTAAGCAAAAATGCAAATGTAAGTGCAAGCAAATAAACAAATAAAGTTACTGTAGTAGATTTCTCTGGGTTTGAGAACATCTCCAAGATATGGCAACTGATGACCAAATGACCTTGCCTCTTGAAATCTTAGCCCAGGGGTGGGATTCTACCAGTTCACACCTATTCGCTAAAACCGGTTGTTAACATTCTAAGCAGTTCAGTTGTTAGAAGAAATTACTGGCCTAATCCTGTAAGGAAGGCAGGAAGGAAACATTCTGGTGTTGCTTACAGACTCTGCCTCTCCATTAACCCTTATTACATTCTTGGCAGGATTGGACTTCCTGTCTCTGGAACTTCTCTGGAGATTTTTTCCCCTTCTTTGCTAGTACTTTGTGTGGAGTGAACATTCAAAGCTACAACGGCACTGAGAAAGTGACTTATGACCATTTTTCAGACTTACAACTGATGCAGCATCCCCACAGTCATGAGAGGCCAGGCGAGGAGATGCGTGCCTCGATGTGAGTGATATTGAGTTGGCCACGCCCAGCCAATAACATGTCCAAGCCATGTCCACCCAGTCACATGACCACCAAGCCATGCCTACCACCTAAGCCATGCCCACAGAACAGGTTGTTAAAAATTTGAATCCCACCTCTGTCTTAGCCAATCCATTAAGGAATCAGTAAAAAAAAGGAATAAACAACCAATTGAGACCTTGTCTTAATGAATTAGAACATTAGGGGTAGAGTGTATATGTGCATTTGGTTTCCAAAAATCTGTAGTGCCTTTTCCTAACTTGAAATTTGACTAATGAAACTGTGCAATGTTAACTTGCTTGGTCAGATGCTGTTAATAACATAGATAGATAGATAGATAGATAGATAGATGGATGGATGGATGGATGGATGGATGGATGGATGGATGGAGGAAGGAAGGAAGGAAGGAAGGAAGGAAGGAAGGAAGGAAGGAGGGAAGGAAACTTTGCTGGCACAGTGGTTAGAATGCAGTATTGCAGGCAAACTCTGCCCACAGCCTAGGGTTCAATTCTGACCAGCTCGAGGTTGACTCATCCTTCCATCCTTCCAAGGTCGGTAAAATGAGGACCCAGATTGTTGAGAGCAATATGCTGACATTGTAAACTGCCCAAAAACTGCTGTAAAGCATCATGGGACAATATATAAGCTAAATATCATCACTATTTTTCTAGAGGATACTTACTAGTTTAATTGGATGCATGGAGCAAATGGAGGGGTCCTTTGCACCCCAGGCTTGCAAATTGGGATACCCACCAGGTTCTAAGACATATGGGTCATCATCAAAGAACGGTTTTGAATAAACCAGCCACCTGTGGAATAGAGAGATCTGTAAAAGAACTGGCAAAACAAATAATGATAACATATCTACTGAACAGAAATGTAATACCAAGAGATCGTCTGGGAGACTGTTTGATCAATGCTTTAAGCCAACTAGCCCAGTTTGTGTTTTCCAGGCTAATACATGAATTAGATGGCAATGATTGGTTGGTTTTCACTTATTTTCAAATTTCACAATCTACCCCAATTCACAAAATAAGTAAAATGTCTATAAAATACACAGTTCAGAGCAAAATATGTACACAATTCTATATTGTGTGCAAAGGAAAAAGAAAAATATGAACAAGAAGAATTACTGATTACTTTGTATACAAATTTCAACCGTACACTGGGTTTTCCACGCAAGTTCAGAAGTGGCCTGCAGAGCTTGCCCTTAAATGCCTCAAATAAATAAACACTTGAATTTCCAAACTGAAATGAACAGGGGCTCTATAAAAGTACTGCTGTCTCTTTGCACATCTTGTTCATTTCCAATCAGATCCGAGGAGACTGGATGGAAATGAACACCCAGATGGACAGACCATGTTGAGCTCTTAAATGATTGTCTGGATTGGCATCAGTCATCAGTTTCCTCCAGCATTTGTTGTGGTCACAGTATCCCAACATGACCCATCACTGACATTGGCAGTGGGATCTGTTAACCATCCACTGTATCATGCCCCTGTTGGAGTCTGAATCTGAGGAGGAAGACGAATAGCTGACAGGGAGCGGGAGTGTGGCTCTGTTGGCTGTGGAGAGAACTGGGGAAGGGCAAAGTCTGGCTGGGCAGAGCAGGAAAGAGGTAGAACAAGGGACAGGGAGTTCAGAGGAAGACTTTGGCCCATCCCTTCTTCATCCTAGGGCACGCAGGGAGGAATGGAGAAGAGAGCAACATGGGTTGCGTGGCTTACGGGGGAGGAAAGGGCCCTGATTCCCTTCATTAGCCATATCTGGTAAGAGAGTTTAAAAGAGATGCATGCTGAATGAGGCGTTCCTGGCATCCTCCCAACTGTGTTGAATTATTGCCATGCCTTCACGTCTGGAATTCCTTCTCCTGCCCTGCCGGACTAATTACCTCATTTCACCTTGTTTGGACTTATAGTTACAGTTTTTGTTGACCACGTTTTGGACTTGATTCTCTGCAGCCAAAGGCTGTTCCTGGGAGAGTTTTTTCCTCCAGTCAGAAGGTAACCAGGACATTGGGGGCAAAGTTGGAGCTAATAAAGGGACTCCTACTGATTATCAGACTGTGTTGCCTTTGTGTCACGCCCCGGCTCACCACACACTGTGTAAATTAGCCACACATCAAAGTTCTGCTGTGTGGAACTGTTGCTTGTAACCAATAAGCTTTCCATTAGAGAAGGAGCTAATGGTCCTTCTTCAGATCTTTCTATTTTAGTCTCTATAAAAAGAAGCCAAGCACTTTAGCTCAAGGTCACCTCTTATAAGGTGGGTAGGTACCCAAAACAGGAGAGGGGGAAAAAAAGTGCCTTACAGGCCAGCGTGTACAATGATAGATGCTGCCTTCAAGGGTTGGCCACATGTTCGTAAATCTTCTGCAGAATCGGTGAACCTCTGTTTCTTCCCTTCGCCATTTTCCTCTTCAAAAAGAGTGATCTCAGGGAGTCTGAAATCCTGCAAAGAAGTTTAGCTTGTTAATGGAGAAAGAGTTGATTTCCATAATTGTTACTTCCTAGCATTTAGCAACGGTTACATATTTCAGCTGTAGGTAAAACTTTTGTTTTTCAGAAAGTAATTTTCAAGAGGAGCCTAACAGATCAAGGCAGACATGATGCATCAAAACCAATTCATTCAAAATATGGTCAAGTGCTTTGCACTGAAAAATTGAAGCTTGTCACTTAGGGTTATAATTTGGTTATTTTATGTTTATAATATTCTTTCACCCAAAAGAGACAATGCCATAATGGTATGGAAATAATGGTGTTCCTGGTGGCACTTTTGCCCACCAAGGTCCTCCTCACCCGCCACAGATAGTGAGTCACCTGCTTTTCATCATATGCAAAGGTGATTTCTCCACTCTGCAACTGAACCACATAGGTTTATATCTTGCTTTTCACTGCCTTCAGTTGCTCTTCCTGCTTTGAAGAACGAGGCTCAGCTGCAAATCACAGCAACTCAAGTTTCAGACAGGAGACAATTTTGATCCAGCAAAAGGCAGCTGTTCTGACCCAGCTCTCCAAACACACACAAAAAAAACCCCTCTGAAGTGAAGAGGCCTTTATTAGGAGAACCAGCAGCACCGGCAAAACGTTTCTCTCTCAACGCAGGTTAACAAATCTATCTGGCCAGAAAATGAATAGTTATCTGCCACATCTATTCATCTCCGCCCCCTGCCTTTTATTCCCAGATCTAGGGTGTGGCTTCACTAGCAGCAGTGGCTCTTCCTTCCCAAGGATCAGCCCAAGGATTTCCACTGCTCTCCTCTCCTCTGCTTCCTGCGCATCCACACACTGGCACCTGACCCAGCTGTTCCTCCTCTTCCTCATCAGCCACCTCCAGACCTGGGGGCTGTTGACTCTCCATCTGAGGGCTAAGGTCTCTCTCTCTCTCTCTCCCCCTCTCTCTCTCCCTCTGGTCTAAAACTAGTGACCATTCAAAGTTACAATGGCACTGAAATATGACCATTTTTCACACTTACGAACGTTGCAGCACCCCCACTGTCCTGAGAGGCCAGGCGAGGAGAAGCGCCCCTTGATGTGAGTGATGTCGAATTGGCCACGCCCAGCCAGTCACATGATCAGCAAGCCACGCCCACAGAACCAGTTGTTAAAAAAATTGAATCCCACCCCTTGCCTCCTCCTATGATTTGGCTGCTGGAGGGTCCTATAGCTGACAGGCCACAACAGCAGCTTTCTATACTCTCACTGCTCCAACTTCAACATTCACCTGCATGGCCAACCAACTCCCTGAAAAAAAGAAAGATACTTCAATGGAACTCAGTCCCTTTTACCTGCACAACCCGTTTGAGAGAACCAATTCGAAATGGGGCATCCTCTTTTTCTGACTCTTCCTTGCAATACATGCTCCAGGGGTTACTGATTTCCATGTTCCCTTCGGCCAGCACACACTTCCTCCCATGGAATCGCGGTTTTTCATACATCAACCAGCTGGAGAGAACCGGAAAGGAACATCATTTGTTGAGTGTCCATTAGAGCAGTGTCCATTTTTTGTGCCACGGGCTGGTACCGGCATCACAAAATGATCCGCGGCCTGGTACCGGCATCAGCACGCATGGCAAGGCGAGCCAAGTGACTGGCCAGCCAGCCGTCCCCCATTTCTCCCTGCCATCTTCAACTCCTCCTTTGTACCTTTGTCGATGGGCTTCGGGACGGTCGCTCGGCTCGCCTTGCCTTGGGTGCTGAAAGAATCCTCGCGCCTTAGTTTTGTTCGAAGCCGCCCCCCATCCGATGAAACTAAGGTGCGAGGATTCCTTCAGGATCCAAACGCCACTTTCCAACCAGAAAAGCTCACCGGAAGCACTTTCTCATCAAAACAAGATGGCGGCGCCCAGCAAACCGGCAGCCCAGTAGAAAATGTTCCACGGAGCGGTACCGGTCTGGGGCCCGGTGGTTGGGGACCCCTGCATTAGAGCCAAGTCTTCAACTTGAATTCTAGAGTTGGATTGGTTGATGTGTGATATTGATGGAGTTACCTGGGTACCCACCCACATTCCTCGTGCTCCTTCAATGAGAAAAGCCTCTCTGCTGTACTGAACAAGCATACAGATATGTATCAAAAATATCTTACAAAACATTTTGCTTCAACCACAAAAAATGGAGGGGAGCAAAAATTTTGGGAGACTCTCCCATCCTCCTGCTATTTGCCCTTCTCCAAAGCTCCACAATTCAGATAGACACAGTTTTATGCATTAGAACAGTGGTAGAAAAACAGTGTCAGTGTTCATCCAATAATTAAACTTCGGGTATGATTGCAAAGACCATTTACTTCAAAGAGCAGCTATTATGCTCATTGGAAAAATACTTAATTAGCCCAATTTATCTGGACAGCTCATGCACAATATATAAGGGAGACTACTCTCTTTTACTGTGCTGTTCCCTCCCAGTAGCTGGTATTTAAGAAGGAGAGACCAGCCCTTTAAGGTGGACCAAATCAGGAAATTGACTCCATAGAAAGAGGAAGACTATTGAGATAGGATATAGTAGTAAAAAAAAAATTCAACACTTTCCACTCTGGAGGAATGTTGGTGGAATTGACAGATCTCTCTAAGATGGATACACTAACTACTTTGATTGCAGCAGAGAGAAAATATTACCTGTGTTTATTGACTTTTTGGATAATAATGAACAAAAAATGAACTTGCGATTTGTATTTTTGATAATTAGACAAGTTAAATGACAGAAAAAAATGGATCACGAAGTAACTTTAGAGATATTAACAGACAGATAACAGATAATCAGAGTTGGAAGGGACCTTGTAGGTCATCTAGTCCAACCCCCTGCCGAAGCAGGAGACCCTACACCATTTCTGACAGATGGCAGTCCAATCTCTTCTTGAAAGTCTCAAGTGATGATGCTCCCACAACTTCCGAAGGCAACTTCTGTTCCATTGGTTGATTGTTCTCACTGTCAGAAATTTTCTCCTTATTTCCAGGTTGAAAATGTCAGCCTTCAAGATCTCTTCTACTGCTCTGCATCTTTCGGCTGTCATTAGCAATGGGGGGAGGGGGGGGCTTGGAAGGGAAGAAAGCTGGAGGTGTTACATTCCTGTGCTGTAAATGAGAGGGAGGAGGGGGAGTATAAAATTCTTCTTCTTGAGTTTCTGTTTCCTTGCTCAACTGTCTTTCTACTGTGCAACTGCTAATTTTTATCAAAATATGTCAAGGTCAATGGACAGAAGCCTCATCACCACCTGCAGATGCCCACATGATCACATTCAGAACTTTTAACTGGAGGAAGATCTTGGATTTGGGGGGGTGGGATCAATTTCACCCCTTTGTATATGTGACCTGGGCGCCTAATTTCTTAGATTCAGAATTTTACCTGTAGCTACCACTTTAAAATCCAGTAAAAGTTTCTTTACTCTAATTTATGGAGTTGAAGTATTTATTTCTTGGATTTTGAATGGAGCTCCGACTGACAGAATCTCTCCTTGTTCAGTTTCCATCCATTATTCCTTGCCTGGCCTACAGGCACTTTAGAAAATAGCCTGACCCCCTTCCTCCACTCTGGGGCAGCCCACAGAGAGTACAACTGTGCTTGTAATTGCTATGGGGAAGATCCAAAGCCACTTTTTTTCTTTTTCTATTTTTAACTTTTATTGCACTTTTTGTTTTCTCTTGCTTTCTTTTTCCTCTTTTTCCTGTATTTTATAGATCAGTTTATATTAGTTTTTAACTTTTCTTTTTAAAAGAAAGAGTGTGTGTTTGTGGGCAGAGACTGAGAGAGAGAGGAATGAGAAAGAGAGAGAAACAGAAATGAGGGAGAGGAGAGAGAGTTAGGAGAAAGAGAGAGGGGAGAAAATGGGAGAGAAACAAAAGACACGGAATGGAATGGAATGGAATGGAATAGAATAGAATAGAATAGAATAGAATAGAATAGAATAGAATAGA